TTTCACACCCTGCTTCTGTTCCCACGACACGCGAGACGCGGGAATATGGCTTAACCAGCAGGTTAGCCTGGTTCAAGAACAGTAACTGCGAGAGGGAACTTGGAGTCCTAGTGGACAATCGCTTAAATAGGAGCCAGCCATGTGCTGCAGCAGCCAAAAAAGCCAACGTAGTCCTAGCCTTTCATTAAGGGATGTATAAAATAAAGATCACGTGAAGTGTTAATACCACTTTACAATGACTTAGTAAGGCCACACTTGGAATACGGCATCCAGTTTTGGTCACCACAATGTCAAAAAGATGTTGAGACTCCAGAAAGAGTGCAGAGAAGAGCATCAAAGAGGATCAGGGGACTGGAGGCTAAAACATATGAAGAACGGTTGCTGGAACTGGGTATGTCTAGTTTAATGAAAAGAAGGACTATGGGAGACATGATGGCAGTCTTCCAGCATTTGAGACGCTCCCCCAAAGAAGAGGGGGGTCCACCTATTCTCCAAAGCGCCTGAAGGCAGGACAAGAAGCAACGGATGGAAACTCATCAAGGAGAGAAGCAACCTGGAACTAAGGAGAAACTTCCTGACAGTGAGAACAATTAACCAGTGGAACCACCTGCCTCCAGAAGCGGTGAATGCTCCAACACTGGAAGTTTTTAAGGAGAGACTGGACAGCCATTTGTCTGAAATGGTATAGGGTTTCCTGCCTGAGCAGGGGGTTGGACTAGATGACCTCCAAGATCCCTTCCTACTCTGTTATTCTATTAGTCCCCCATCAGGAACAGCTGGGAATCAGAGCACCACAGGACAGAAGCTGAAACGGGCAGAGTTTAGAATTTGCGATTGGGAACCGAGGTTTGTTCTCAAGGTGGATGGCAGGTAACGAGTCCAAAATCCCCGCACAGCCAGGTAGCTGTTTATCTTGGTTTTCTTTCACATGCTGGGTGTGTACGGTGGTTGTTAAGCAGAAGCAGCAGATCTGAATAAGTGCCAAAAAACCCCAAGCATTTATTGCACACAATGCGACTCAGAGACTGTCCAGGCCGAGATGGTAAACGTTGATGGTAAACTTTGGCTGCAAATTTTGATTACAGGTGTCCTCGACTTTTGTCCAAAAGGGACCCCAAAATTTCTGTTGTTTCCTAGTTGGGTGATGAAGCATCTGCAAGAAGACCGCCAAGCTCAGATAGCATCAAGGACCCCACAGTCCTCCTCCTCTCTCTGCAAACCCCACTCCCTTCTAGCACTGATGATGTTACCTAGTTGGGTGATGAAACGTCTGCAAGGAAACCCCCAAGCTCAGAGAGCACTAAGGACCCCACAGTCCTCCTCCTCCTCCTCCTCCCTTCTAGCACTGATGATGTTACCTAGTTGGGTGATGAAACGTCTGCAAGGAAACCACCAAGCTCAGAGAGCACCAAGGTCCCTACAATCTTCCTCCTCCTCCTCCTCCTCCTCCTCTTCCTCCTCCTCCTCCTCCTCCTCCTCCTCCTCCTCTCCATAAACCCCTCTCCCTTCTAGTACTGATAATGTTACCTAGTTCAGTCATGAAAGGTCTGCAAGAAAACCACTCAGCTCAGAGAGCACCAGAGACCCCTCATATCAACCCTGAGCTACAAATATTCTCCTTTATTAATCCTCAAGATGCTCACACAGAACAGGTGGTCCTCAACATATGACTGTGCAGAGGCTGCAGATTATGGTTGTATGTTGTAACGACTGCAAAATTGAATATACTTTGGCAAGCTGCCGTCTCCGTCTCTCGCACCCGGAGCCGAGACGTTCCCTCCGGTTTGCTCCCATCCCTGGTCCCATCTTGGCCAGGACTGTCCCAGTTGTGTCTGTGGCCATTGTGTGTTTCTTGTGCATCCACCGCCTCCTTGTGTCGAGAGAACAAACCGCACCTTCTGCAGAAGGCCCCGGCTGCGGACGGTTGTGGGTTAAATCACACAGGCCACCTGGAGCGAACTTTTGTGCGGAAAGGATTTGGGCCCAGACAAACCTGTGCAAAACTGCAACCCAACCAGCACACACAGACGCCTCTTTCCTCCCCTGCTTTGTCAAAAGGAACACAAAAACCTCACTCAAGCATTTATCAAAAAAAACCACAAAAAACCCTGTTCTGTTCCATTCTCTATTCTATTCTATTCTATTCTATTCTATTCTATTCTATTCTATTCTATTCTATTCTATTCCTTATTCCTTATTCTATTCTATTCTATTCCTTATTCCTTATTCATTCTATTCTATTCTATGCTATTCTATTCTATTCTATTCTATTCTATTCTATTCTATTCCATTCTGCATTTCTATTCTATTCTATGTCCGAAATGGTATAGGGTTTCCTGCCTGAGCAGGGGGTTGGACTAGATGACCTCCAAGGTCCCTTCCAACTTTATCATCATCATTATTATTACTCTACTACTCTACTCTACTCTATTCTATTCTATATCCAGTTCATTCTCTATTCTATTCTATTCTATTCTATTCTATTCTATTCTATTCCTTATTCCTTATTCATTCTATTCTATTCTATTCTATTCTATATCCATTCCATTCTCTATTCTATTCTATTCTATTCTATTCTGCATTTCTATTCTATTCTATGTCCAAAATGGTATAGGGTTTCCTGCCTGAGCAGGGGGTTGGACTAGATGACCTCCAAGGTCCCTTCCAACTTTTTCGTCATTATTATTATTACTCTACTACTCTACTCTACTCTATTCTATTCTATATCCAGTTCATTCTCTATTCTATTCTATTCTTTGTGGATTACGGACATCCTGCGTCCGAAGCAGGGCTGTCTTTGAAGGCATGGAGGTTTTCTGGAGCTGCCGAGAAGGGGAAGGAGATTTATGGCTGGTTTAATCATTCAGCTTCTGCCCTGTCACAGTTGCAGGGCCGAAGAGGCTAAGTAAACAATGGCTGAAAGGTCCAAGGCCAGCTCATGACATCAATCAACATGATGATAATGGCAACTGTGATAAGCAGACGGGGAGCACAAGGTCAGCAGGACAAGGACAAGGAAATGGAAAGAGAGCACAATTGCATCCAGGGAAGACCCTAACCCAAAACAGAGCATTTTGTAATGTTTCCAAAAGAAATTCCACAAAGATTTATTTATGGCGGTTGCCCCGTCCCTGGCCTCACGTGACCCACTTTTGCGACCTTCTGACCAGCAAAGTCAATGGGGAAGCCGGATTCACTTCAAAACCGTGTTATTAATTTAACAATTGCAGTGATTCCCTTAACATCTGTGGCAAGGAAAGTGGTAAAATGGGGGCCAAACTCATTTAAGAAACTTAAGAAACAGCCATTAGAAGCCACAGTTTGTCCGTCTCAAATATGGCGCTAAGCCATCATTCGTGGATGTTGCCCTCTGGGAATTTTTAATGACGCCAGGGCGCTGCCACACAGCCATTGTCTGACATCATCTGACAAGTGTAAAATATATAATTTGCACGGCTCAAATTACAACAGTCACATTACATTATATCTACTAGTTACCAGTTCCGGATCAATCCCAAATAAAGACGTTTTTACATTTTTTCCATTTTTTAATTTCATAAAATTGGTTCCATTCTCCCCAAAACATATCAGGAACATTTGATATACTCATTCACTACACCTTTTCTTTTAGGGGGAAAAGCACCCAAATGCGCCCTAGTTCATAAATAATAAACCCAATTTTCTGAGTTTGCAAAACTCTGAAGCATCTGGCTTGGATCTGCATGATATTTGAGCCTCAAAAAAGTGCTTTATAGTTTATGCCTCGAGATGTCATCTGAATGTGGCTGTTTGGGGCTTCCTTTCCCGGGACAGAACTTAGCCAGGTGATGTCCAGGGTTTTCTGCTGCAGGAGAAAATGTGATTTATGTGGCTATTTCCGATTTTATCAAAACAATTTCTATCATGCAGAAAACAGTAGGTGGTTTTCTGCCCACACTCTCCCTAGCAAGAAATTGCCAGCTGGCCTCTGGGTCAGCCTTGGAAATAGATCCTGAACGATCATTTTTCAAGCTTTAAATGGTTTATCGGGATTCAGCCCCAGAACATTACAAGGTTTGTTTCTTTGTTTAAAGGGGGGAATGGACTGAGAGCAAACCTTGATAGAATGTGGTTCATCCAGTCAGATTAAGATTCAGGGTGTATTTGCATGTGTGTGAGAATATCCAGGCATTTCTTTAAACACCTCTTTAAAAAGAGCATTAAATGTCCTTTGGTGTCTGAGGCAGAAATGTGAAAGATTGTAACTGAAAAGGGGGGAAAAAAGGAGAAAGAGGAAAAAAAAAAGTTTATATAGCTGCCCATCTTGCCTATGTGACTCCAGGATGGCTCCCAAGAGAAAAACAAAACCATATAGATTTGAATTAAAATAGTCAAATAATTAAAAGGTCAATTAATGAGAAAGATAAAAGGCAGGAGACATTTAAAACCAAATTATGGTTAAAACAATGTTTCTCAATCTCAGCAACCAGAAGACGGCTGCACTTCAACTCCCAGAATCCCCCAAACAGCAATGCTGGCTGGGGAATTCTGGGTATTGAAATCCAGCCCCCTTGAACGTTCAAAAGCTTGCAAAATGCTGAGTGATATCATTCCTGAGAGGCAGCTGTCAATCTTGGTCCCTTTCTGCAGATTTCGCACCCAGGGCCTCAGCATCTTCTTTGTCACTGGCCTCAGTGGCTGTTCTGACCTTCCTATATCTTCAACGTCTAAAAATTCCTACTGGCAGGGAATCATGGAAATGGTAGCCTGGCAAGGCCGGGCAGGGGAGGATGGGCCTGGGAATCCCCAAGGGCCGGAGGGCGCCGGTTGGGGAAAGAGAGGCGTTGCTAAGGCCCGCCCGCTTTCTTCGCGTCCGACAGGGCGGTCGCTAGGGGCGGGGCGGGCTGCTCTGCCGTTGCCGGGGCAACGTCCCTCTCCCTCTCCCATTCTTTCTTTCTCCCCCTGCAAACAGCTGCTCCCGGGCCGTACCATCCTGGCGGCGGGCGGGGGTGTCCGTCGTGCGAGGGAGGAGGGAGACTTGGAGGACCTCCCTGAGGGGGCGGTGTTGTTGGCTCCTCCCTCCCGCGTCCCTCCCTCCAGCCGCTGGCGCGTTGGTACGGCCCGCCCCTCCCGTCAGAGCGCTCGGCAGGCCCGGCGGACGGACAATGGCGCTGCTCCCCTCGCGGAGCCCGCTGGGGCTGCTGCCGCCCCCGGCCGGCAGGGGGCGCTCCAAGGCACGAGGGGGCGCCCGGCCCGCCGCCAGGTGAGACAACCCGGGTCGGCCGCCGCCTTCGCACGACGCGCCTGACCCGAGTCAGGCGCTTCCGGGGCGGCCCCTCCCCGTTCATGCAGGGTTGAAACAATCCCTCGCCGCGGGTGGGGCAGGGGGCGGGGCCTGGGGGGCGGGGCAAGCGAGGGGGCCACGTGTGCAGGGGGGGTGTATGTTGGGGGGATAGTTTTGTGTTCAAATCCTGCAGGACGGCTAAAGCAGATTGGGCCTGGTTGGGATCGGATGGGAGACCACCAGGCGATCCAGCTCGGTGGGGTTGGATAGTCATCACAAAGGAGGCAGGGGCAAGTCGCCCCTCTGCCTGGCTACCCTGCAAGGAGGCGTCCCTGGGGTCGCCAAGTTGGCCCCAAGAAGAAGAACCTTTAGCAGACCTGGGCAAACTGGGGGTCAGAGGTGGATAGGGCACCACCAGGAAATCCCACATCTGCAGGCAGGATGACTGTGGTTCTCGTAACCACTCCAAGAAGAAAAAATCTAAATCCACGCCTGGACAACTAGTCAACCAGGCTGCCCGGGTTAGCGCCTGGAGTTGCATTCAGCCGGGCCATTTGACAGTTGAGAGTTGAAAGTGTGGCTGTGTTCCCACAACCACAAATCAGACGGAGCTGGTGCATTTTTCAAACCTGGGCTGGTGTGTGTGTGTGTCTGTGTGGAGACTTGCAGCTCACCTCGTCAGCGTCATTATGTTGGTGTAAGTTGCAAAACCAGGAAGCAAGGCTAGATCAGCATTCGGGATAGGCGTGTTGTGTGGATGCGTCTTTTAAATATATCCGTGACTTGGGAGTGTCGCTGTAGATGCCTCGAAGCCAGTTGCTTGCCTTGTCCAACTCTTCCGCAGGGTGATGGTGACGAGAACGTAAGGACGTTTGGGGGGAGGAGGTGGCAATTAAAATACAGGTAGTCCTCGACTTACGACAGTTCATTTAGTGACCGTTCACAGTTCCCACGGCAGTGAAAATAGTGACTTAGGACCGTTTTCCACACGACCGTTGCCGCCTCCCCAGGGTCACATGTTCAAAATTCAGACGCTTGGCAACTGACTCATATGTATGACGGTCGCGGTGTCCCTGGGTCGCGTGATCCCCTTTTGCGACCTTCTGGTGAGCCAAATCAATGGGGAAGCCAAATTCACTGAACAACCGTGTTACTCACATAACAACTTGCAATGATTCATTTAACAACTCTGTCAAGAAAGGTCGTAAAATGGAGCCAAGTCCACCGATGTCTTGCTTAGCAGCAGAAATTTTGGGCTCTGTTGTGGTCGTAAGCTGAGGACCACCTGTACAGATGATTGATCTGGCCTGCTTGTGAGAATCCGGTCGTTTTTTTTCCCCCTGCATCCTTTTGTAGCGACAAAATCCTGCCAGAAAAATTGGCAAAAGAGCTCATTCTCTTGAGCTCTTTGTAAAGAAAGCTTCTTTCCATGCTGGCTGGGGAATTCTGGGAAATGATATCCATAAATCTTAAAAAGATGCCAGAATTGAGAGAGGGGAGCCATTTCAGGAATCTAAACAAATACCTGTTTGCGGCTGATTTGAAGGGGGGCAGAATCTGGGAACGTTGCTCTGCCGAAGGGAGAAAATATCCCAATGCAGTTTTCCCTGCAGTCTTTCCGTGGGCCGGAATTTGGCACCCCAGCTATAAAAAGCCTTGGCTGTGGGTCAGAGGTTTCAACGCTTGCAGCAAACACAGGAAGTCCTGCACTTAACGCCGCCACAAATCAGCCTGACGTTTCTGTGGTTATTTTTTTAAAGACAGTTTTTGCCCCGTTTTACAACTGTTCTTGCCACAGTTGTTAAGTGAATCGTGCGGTTCTTCAGTGAATAACACCGTCGTTAAGTGAATCCGGCTTCCCCCCCCCGTTGAATTTGATTGGTCAGAAGGGGATCCCGTGGACCCTGCGAACCGTCATAAATAGGAGTCCGTCGGCAAGGCTCTGAATTTTGATCCCGTGACCGCAGGGATGGTGCAACGGTCATACAGATGTTTGGTAACTGGGGCTCAGTCTTTGGGTCTTGGCAGCTGAAGGCGTTTTGCCTTTGCCAGATTCCCAATCCGTATCCTCTCAGTTGCTAAGGGACTGTTTTTTCTTTTTTTTTTCTTTTTTGCACTGGGGGGGGGGGAAAGAGGATTTTATTTTTATTTTTTTAGCATTGGAAGAATACAGATAGTCCTCGACTTACTGGCACAATTGAGCCCAAAGTTTATGTCGCTAAGTGAGACATTTGCAGCTCTTTTACTCTGTCTTTCTTTCTTTCTTTCTTTCTTTCTTTCTTTCTAGAATAGAAAATATGGAATAGAAGAGAAGAGAAGAGAAAATGTGGAATAGAAGAGAAGAGAATAGAAAATGTGGAATAGAATAGAATAGAATAGAAAATGTGGAATAGAATAGAATAGAATAGCATAGAATAGAATAGAATACAATAGAATACAATAGAATAAAATAGAAAGTGTGGAATAGAAAATGTGGACTAGAATAGAATAAAAAATGTAGAATAGATTAGAATAGGATAGGATAGAATAGAATAGAATAGAATAGAATAGAAAATGTGGAATAGAATAGAAAATGTAGAATAGATTAGAATAGAATAATAATAGAATAAAACAATAGAATAGAATGGAATAGAATAGAAAATGTAGAATAGAATAGAAAATGTAGAATAGATTAGAATAGAATAATAGAATAAAACAATAGAATAGAATAGAATGGAATAGAATAGAAAATGTAGAATAGAATAGAATAGAATAGAATAGAATAGAATAGAATAGAATAGAATAGAATAGAATAGAATAGAATAGAATAGAATAACAGAGCTGGAAGGAGTCTTGGAGGTCATCTAGTGCAACCCCCTGCTCCAGCCGGAAACCCTATACCATTTCAGACAAATGGTTGGATAACATTTTGCAAACTTTGCAGAAGGCAAAATAATAATAATAATAATAATAATAATAATAATAATAATAATAATAATAATAACAACAACAACAACAACAACAACAACAACAACAACCTCTTTGCCAATTCAGCCAAAAACACTTCCTTTTGCAATTGGTGGGGCTGGAAATTTGGCCTCCTTTCCCAGCACGGCCTCTTCATTCTCCTTCCCTGTTTCTCTTCCCAGCTGCAGCCGACTTCGACAAATTCAAAACATTCTGACGGAGAGCAACAAATCCCAGCCAGATGGCATCCTCTGCATTTTGGGTAAATTCTCTTTTCATCCTTAACGTGCACTGACGGGTGTGTGTGTTTGTGTGCGTGTGTGTGTGTGTGTGTGTGTGTGTGTGTGTGTGTGTGAGTGAAAGGGGCAAAGTGGGACTCCGTGCCCTGTGTGTGAAACATTTGATCCGTAGCAAGCTTCTTCGGAGGCAGAAACTGGCTGCTTTTTGTGGATTTTTCCTCTCTCGCTAAGAAGAGGAGGAATGAATAATAGTAAAAAAAGGCCCTTATTCTCTTGTGCTGGGCATTTTATGGGGCGAATTCACCCTGACCCTCTCCCAGCTTTTTTTCCTGAACAAGCAGGCAGTGCAAGATAAAAAGGGCTCCGAAATTTGGTTAGATGCACAAGATCCGGCGGCTGTTCATCTTCCTCCGTGGGATTTTTGCTAAGAACAGGTGAAAGCCAGCCGATATGGTCAAGCTAGAATCTGGGAGACTCTGAGTTCTAGTCCCACCTGGGTGACTTTGGGTCAATCACCAGGAGATGGTGAGTTCTAGTCCCGCCTTAGACATGAAAGCCACCTGGGTGACTTTGGGCCAATCACCGGGAGACGGTGAGTTCTAGTCCCGCCTTAGACATGAAAGCCAATTGGGTGACTTTGGGCCAATCACTAGGAGACGGTGAGTTCTAGTCCTGCCTTAGACATGAAAGCCAATTGGGTGACTTTGGGCCAATCACCAGGAGACGGTGAGTTCTAGTCCCGCCTTACACATGAAAGCCAATTGGGTGACTTTGGGCCAATCACTAGGAGACGGTGAGTTCTAGTCCTGCCTTAGACATGAAAGCCAATTGGGTGACTTTGGGCCAATCACCAGGAGACAGTGAAGATGAAAGCCACCTGGGTGACTTTGGGCCAATCACCGGGAGACGGTGAGTTCTAGTCCTGCCTTAGACATGAAAGCCAATTGGGTGACTTTGGGCCAATCACTAGGAGACGGTGAGTTCTAGTCCTGCCTTAGACATGAAAGCCAATTGGGTGACTTTGGGCCAATCACCAGGAGACGTGAGTTCTAGTCCCGCCTTACACATGAAAGCCAATTGGGTGACTTTGGGCCAATCACTAGGAGACGGTGAGTTCTAGTCCTGCCTTAGACATGAAAGCCAATTGGGTGACTTTGGGCCAATCACCAGGAGACGGTGAGTTCTAGTCCCACCTTAGACATGAAAGCCGGCTGGGTGACTTTGGGCCAATCACCAGGAGATGGTGAGTTCTAGTCCCGCCTTAGACATGAAAGCCACCTGGGTGACTTTGGGCCAATCACCGGGAGACTGTGAGTTCTAGTCCCGCCTTAGACATGAAAGCCAATTGGGTGACTTTGGGCCAATCACTAGGAGACGGTGAGTTCTAGTCCTGCCTTAGACATGAAAGCCAATTGGGTGACTTTGGGCCAATCACCAGGAGATGGTGAGTTCTAGTCCCGCCTTAGACATGAAAGCCAATTGGGTGACTTTGGGCCAATCACCAGGAGATGGTGAGTTCTAGTCCCGCCTTAGACATGAAAGCCACCTGGGTGACTTTGGGGCAATCACCAGGAGACGGTGAGTTCTAGTCCTGCCTTAGGCACGAAAGCTGGCTGGGAGAATTTGAACCAGTCCCTCTCTCTCAGCCCAACCCACCTCACAGAGTTGTTGTTGTGGGGAAAATAAGAGTAAGAAGTAGTATTGTGTGCGTTTGCCACCTTAAGTTATTTAAGAGAAAAAAATAAAAAGTGGGATATAAAGGAACGAAGGAAAGGAAAGGATGATATAAGAGGAAGGGAAGGGAAGAGGAAAGGAAAAGGAAGAAAGAGAAAGGAAAGGAAAGGAAAGGAAAGGAAAGGAAAGGAAAGGAAGGGAAGGAAAAGCTAAAAGCTGCAGCTTGGTTTTTCATCCCCGATTTAAGTCCTTCCACCTCTCCGACTATTGCAAAAAGTGGGTTTTCCCTTCACACAAACATTCGGGTGGCAACCTGGATTTCGACCTTCAGCCCTCCCCCACGGCTGCTTGCCCCTTCCCATGATCTGCCAGCCCCCCAGCCGCTTCACCAGGTCTTTTTCATCGCTTTCCCCACAGCCGTGCGGGATGCTCAGCCCCTCGGTCCCTACAGATGTTTGGCAACTGGGGCTCAGTCTTTGGTCTTGGCAGCTGAAGGCATTTTGCCTTTGCCAGATTCCCAATCCCTATCCTCTCAGTTGCTAAGGGACTGTTTTTTCTTTTTCTTTTTTGCACTGGTGGTGGTGGTGGGGAAATAAGATTTTTTGTTGTTGTTGTTTAGCATTGGAAGAATACAAGCAGTCCTCGACTTACCAGGACAATTGAGCCAAAATTTATGTCGCTAAGTGAGACATTTGCAGCTCTTTTACTCTGCCTGTCTTTCTTTCTTTCTTTCTTTCTTTCTTTCTTTCTTTCTTTCTTTCTTTCTTTCTTTCTTTCTTTCTCTTTTTCTTTTTGTCTTCCTTCCTTCCTCCCTCTCCTTCCTTCCTTCCTTCCTCTTTCTTTCTTTCCTTCCTTCCTTCTTTCTTTCTTCTTTATATCTTTCTCTTTTTGTCTTCCTCCCTCCTTCCTTCCTTTCTTCCTTCCTTCCTTCCTTTCTTTCTTTCTTTCTTTCTTTTTCTTTCTTTTTCTTTGTGTCTTTCTTCCTCCCCCCTCCTTCCCTCTCCTTCTCTTTCCCTCCTTCCCTTCCTCTTTCTTTCTTTGTATCTTTCTCTCTTTCTTTTTGTCTTTCTCCCTCCTTTCTTTCTTTTTCTTTCTGTATCTTTCTCTTTTTCTCCTCCCTCCCTCCCTCGCTCCTTCCTTCCTTCCTCTTTCTGTCTTTCTTTCTTTCTTTCTTTCTTTCTTTTTCTTTCTGTATCTTTTCTCTTTCTTTTTCTCTTTTTCTTTCTTCATTCATTCTCTCTCTCATTTTTTTCTTTCTTTCTATTTTTTCTTTCTTTCCCTTTTTCTCTTTTCTCTTTCTTTTCTTTCTTTTCTCTTTTCTTTTTCTTTTTTCTTTTTCTTTCTTTTCTCTTTCTCTTTCTTTTTCTCTTTCTCTTTTTCTTTCTTCATTCTTTCTCTTTCATTTTCTTTCTTTCTATTTTTTCTTTTCTTTCTCTTTTTTCTCTTGTTTTCTTTCTTTTCTCTTTCTTTCTTTTTTTCTTTCTCTTTCTTTCATTTTTTCTTTCTTTCTTTCTCTCTCTCTCTCTTTCCTTTTTTCTTTCAATTTTTGCCCCATTTTACAAATTTTCTCGCCACTGGCACAATTGCTGTGATTATTAAGATGGTAACACGGCCGTTAAGCAAATCTGGCTTCCCCCATTGAGTTGACGTGTCAGAAGGTCACAAAAGCGGATCATGTGACCCCAGGGACACTGCAACCGTCATAAGTATGAGTCAGTTGCCAAGTGTCTGAATTTTTGATCACTTGGCCCCGGGGATGCTGCAACAGTCCTAAATGTAAAAAACGGTCCGAAGTCACTTTTTTTCAGTGCCGCCGTAACGTCGGTCACTAAGTGAACCGTCGTAAGCCGAGGACTACCTGTTTTGTCTCCTTCGCCGTCCCTGGGAGCTTTCTCTTTAAATCTGGAGGCTGCTTGGAGAATCCTTAGTTGAAACAATCTCGCCATTCTTCCTAAAGGCTCAGAATAAATCCTGTGGGCGGAATCTGCAATCGGGTGGAAGGCAAATTTGGATTTTCCATTTCGCCCTGTGAAAGGGAGGCTTGCTTTTTTTTTTGGTTTTATTTGGTTTTTATTCACTGCCTTGGGGTGACGCATAGCAGCCATTTGATGTCTCCCTTAATCAGAAATGCTTGCTGAGGGAAGGTCAGATTAAAAAACAAGAAAGGTAACAGTTAAATGAGTTGTAGCTCTGGAAGAAAACACCTCTTCTTTTATTATTATTATTATTTTAATCAGAAGAGCCGGTTATTAAGATATCGGTAAGAAGATATGGCTGCTAGAAATCTCGGTGCTCCTATCTCTCAACCTGGGCGACTGGAAGATGGGGGGACTTCAATTCCCAGAATTCCCCAGCCAGCGTGGTTGAGAAAGATTGCACTAGGCCAGGGGTAGGCAACCTTGGCTCTTTTATGACTCGGGGACTTCAACTCCCAGAATTCCTGAGCCAGCATGGGGGAACTATGGCCCCCTCATGACTCGTGGACTTCAACTCCCAGAATTCCTGAGCCAGCATGGCTCAGCTTGGAAACCTCTCCCTTTCTCCTCAGCATGGCTGGCTGAGGAATTCTGGGAGTTGAAGTCCACCAGTCATAAAAGAGCCAAGGTTGCCTACCCCTGAACTAGGCAAATCTTAAAGAAGGTGACAATTACAGGCAGTCCTTGATTTACAACAGTTCATTTAGTGCAGGGGTAGGCAACCTTGGCTCTTTTATGACTGGTGGACTTCAACTCCCAGAATTCCTGAGCCAGCATGGCTCAGCTTGAAAACCTCTCCCTTTCCTCTCAGCATGGCTGGCTCAGGAATTCTGGGAGTTGAAGTCCACGAGTCATAAAAGCCAAGGTTCCCCACCCCTGCTCTAGGTTTTGGTTAAAAAAAAATAAATGAACAGATCAAGGTTAAAAAAGGTGATGAGGGATGCTTAGATCTATAGTATAGCTAATTCTCGACTTACATCAGAATTAAGCCCAAAAATTTTGGTGGCTAAGCGAGGCAGCTGTTAAGTCAGTTTTGCCCCATTTGACAATTTTTTTCTTGCCACCTTTGTTAAGCAAGTCACTTGAGTTGTTAAGTGAATCATGTGGCTTCCATTGATTTTGCTGGTTGGAAACCAGCTGGTAAGGTTGCAAATAAGGATTAAATGACCCCAGGACAGTGTGACGGTCATAAATACATGGCAATTGCTAAGTGCCTGGATTTTGATCACGTGATCACCAGCTGGCTTTGATGCCTAAAGCGGGATTAGAACTCGCCATCTCCTGGTGATTGGCCCAAAGTCACCCAGCGTGCTTTCATTCCTAAGGCAGGATTAGAATTCACAGACTCCTAATGATTGGGCCAAATCACCCAGCCGGCTTTCATACCTAAGGCAGGACTAGAACTCACAGCCTTCTGGTGATTGACACAAAGACACCCAGCTGGCTTTCATGCCTAAGGTGGGACTAGAACTCACAGCCTCCTGGTGTTTGGCCCAAAGTCACCCAGCTGGCTTTCATACCTATGGCAGGACTAGAACTCGCCATCTCCTGGTGATTGGCCCAAAGTCACCCAGCTGGCTTTCATACCTAAGGCAGGACTAGAACTCACAGCCTTCTGGTGACTGATACAAAGACACCCAGCTGGCTTCCATGCCTAAGGTGGGACTAGAACTCACAGCCTCCTGGTGTTTGGCCCAAAGTCACCCAGCTGGCTTTCATACCTAAGGCAGGACTAGAACTCGCCGTCTCCTGGTGATTGGCCCAAAGTCACCCAGCTGGCTTTCATACCTAAGGCAGGACTAGAACTCGCCGTCTCCTGGTGATTGGCCCAAAGTCACCCAGCTGGCTTTCATACCTAAGGCAGGACTAGAACTCACAGCCTTCTGGTGATTGACACAAAGACCCCCAGCTGGCTTTCATGCCTAAGGTGGGACTAGAACTCACAGCCTCCTGGTGTTTGGCCCAAAGTCACCCAGCTGGCTTCCATACCTAAGGCAGGACTAGAACTCACCTCCTTTCTCGCCTGGTGCCTTAACCGCGGCTAGACCAAACTGTCTCTCCAGTTGATGGAAATGAAATGAAGGCAGGGCTTGTGCTGACATCTTGGCCAAGAATGTTTGCCAGATGGACGTGGGAAGATTCATTGCTAAACGCTGACAGCCCTTAACGCTGTTCTATAAAAATCAGCCGGGCCTCCTATGCAGAAACATCCCAACCCATCTGTTGAACTCTTTGAAAGTGACTGGCCCGGCCTATTTTTCTTGCCCTGGTTTCCAAAGACGTGACTCTGATCCTGGCTTGTCTATCTTGGCAACCCTCCCCCCCCCCAGGGTCTTTATCCCTGCGTAACCCCATGGACAAGGAGACGGTCTGCTGTTGCCCTGTCTGCCGGCCCCCACCCAGATGTTCCCCCAGGCCTAATCCTGCCAGGCTGGACCACGTCGTAAGAGGCTTTGCCTGGCCCTGGCCCAGTGCAAGGGTTGTGCATTTGCACACAGCATTGTGGCTCTCGGGTTTCAGAGTGGCCGCCCCCCCCCCAAACTCACTGGGGAGCTTTTCCAATCTCCTTGCTTCCTGTTGCTGAAGGACCTTCGACTCTGGATAAGGCTGCCATTTCCGTTTAGCTTTGGCTGAAACAGTGAAGGTGTTAAACCAAGAACCAGGAGAACTTCTCTCCCAGTTGCTTTTTGTTAAAACACACACACACACACACACACACACACACACACACACACACTTGCTTACATACAGTACATACATGCTTATATACATACATACTTATATATTTATATACATACATACATAATTGCATACAAACATAGATACTTACATACATAAATACACACTTGCATACTTAATATACATATATATTTATATACATACATAATTACATACATAGATACATATACATAAATACAGACATATACATACTTTTATACATACATACATAATATACATGCATACATACATACTTACATACTTATATACATACATGCTTATATACATACATACTTATATACATAGTTACATACATACATATATACTTGAAGTGGTCCTGAAAACCAACTGGGTGATTTTGGGCCAGTCACTAGGAGACGGTGAGTTCTAGTCCCTCCTTAGTCATGCAAGCCAACTGGGTGTCTTTGGGCCAATCACCAGGAGACGGTGAGTTCTAGTCCTGCCTTAGGCACGAAAGCCTGCTGGGTGACTTTGGACCAGCTCCTCATTCTCAGCCCAGCCCATCTCACAGGGTTGTTGTAATGTGGAAAATAGGAATACGTTTGCTGCCTCGGGTTGTTTGTGAGAATAACAAAGGCGTGATTCAAATAAACGAAATGGCATTTCTTATGAGGGTTCAGTTTTGGTTCTAGGTTTTGCTGGGATTGAGATTAGAAATTATGGCCAATTCTTTTCGGAGTTCTTGGGTGTTTCTGCTCCGCCTTCACCAAAATCGCAAATTTCTTGTCCGTTACTTGCTTAAAACCTCCTCCAGGTGAAGGAACAGTCATTGTTTCAGCTGGGGAGCAGAGATTTCCTCTGGACAACAGACTTACACACTTTAGTAACTGGGTGATCAAGTGGCACCGTTTTCCAGAGCGCCATATTGGATGGTCCAGCAGGAAGCCGGCCCTTATTGCACCAGGGGTCAAAGTTGGCTCGGCGTCTCTTTTGGCTGGTTTGGTTTGAATCACGTCGGATCGAAATAATTTCTTGTCTGAGTGATACAACTTCGGTGTGGAAATCACTCTGAACTCAACGGAAGCAAATTAACGCCCCGGCACCATGGGTGGGGTGGAAACGCATCATGCTGGCTACCTTTGTAAGTGTAAACCTGTTGCAAAACTGCAACTTCAGTTAACTCACTCTTAGAGCAACAAAGAGGATGAGGGGACTGGAGGCTAAAACATGAGGAACGGTTGCTGGAATTGGGGAGGTCTAGTTTAATGAAGAGAAGGACGAGGGGGGACAGGATAGCAGTCTTCTAATATCTCAGGGGCTGCCCCAAAGAAGAGGGAGTCAAGCTATTCTCCAAAGCACCAGAAGGCAGGACAAGAAGCAACAGATGGAAACTCATCCAGGAGAGAAGCAACCTAGAACTAAGGAGAAACTTCCTGACAGTGAGAACAATTAACCAGTGGAACAACCTGCCTCCAGAAGCAGTAAATGCTCCAACACTGGAAGTTTTGAAGAAGAGACTGGACAGCCATTTGTCTGAAATGGTGTAGGGTTTCCTGCCTGAGCAGGGAGTAGGACTAGATGACCTTCAAGGTCCCTTCCAACTTTATTATTATTATTATTAACAACCTGCCTCCAGAAGCGGTGAATGCTCCAACACTGGAAGTTTTTAAGAAGAGACTGGACAGCCCTTTGTCTGGAATGGTATAGGGTCTCCTGCTCAAGCAGAGGGTTGGACTAGATGACCTCCAAGGTCCCTTCCAACCTATAATTCTATGTTCTAAGTTTTCAGAATCCAGCTTCATGAGTCAAAGCCTTGCCCCTAAATTCTGTAGTAACTGGATCTGAAGGTCTCCTGGGGACAGAGAGGTCTTCCAGTATCCCAGGGGCTGCCCCAAAGAAGAGGGAGTCAAGCTATTCTCCAAAGGCAGGAGAAGAAGCAACGGATGGAAACTAATCAAGGATAGAAGCAACCTGGAACTAAGGAGAAACTTCCTGACAGTCAGAACAATTAACCAGTGGAACCACCTGCCTCCAGAAGCTGTGAGTGCTCCATCACAGGAGGTTTTTAAGAAGAGACTGGACAGCCATTTGTCTGAAATGATATAGGGCAGTGATGGCAAACCTTTTAGAGACCGAGTGCCCAAACTGCAACCCAAAATCCACTTAAGTATGGTCGGGTGCCGGGTGGGCGTGGCCTATTGGCTGGGTGTGGCCAATTGGCTGGACGTGGCCCATTGGGTGGGCGTGGCTGCTGTGATAATGGCAGACTGAGTGGGACTAAAAAGTTCAGTCAATCAATTCCAACTTTGCCAGATCTTTTCTTTTTTCCCCGCAAGAAGCTGAAATTGATTGATTGAACTTTTTTTTTTTTTTTTGCACACGGCGACAGAGGCCTAAAGTGAAAAGGTTTTATAAAACCCAGCTAAAGGCCTAGGACTGGGGCGACGGCGTGTGTGCCCACAGAGAGGGCTCTGCGTGCCACCTCTGGCATGGGTGCCATAGGTTCGCCATCATGGATATAGGGTTTTCTGCCTGAGCAGGGGGTTGGACTAGATGACCTCCAAGGTCCCTTCCAACTACTACTACTACTACTACTACTACTACTACTACTACTACTACTACTACTACTACTTCTTCTTCTTCTTCTTCTTCTTCTTCTTCTTCTTCTTCTTCTTCTTCTTCTTCTTCTTCTTCTTCTTCTTTTTCCTCCTCCTCCTCCTCCTCCTCCTCTCTGCCAACCTCACTCCCTTCTAGCACTGATGACATTACCTAGTTGGGTCATGAAACGTCTGCAAGAAAACCACCAAGCTCAGAGAGCACCAAGGACCCCATACTCCTTTTCTTCCCCCTCCTCCTCCTCCTCCTCCTCCTCCTCCTCCTCCTCCTCCTCCTCCTCCTCCTCTTCCTCCTCTTCCTCCTCCTCCTCCTCTCTGCCAACCTCACTCCCTTCTAGCACTGATGACATTACCTAGTTGGGTCATGAAATGTCTGCAAGAAAACCACCAAGCTCAGAGAGCACCAAGGACCCCATACTCCTTTTCTTCTTCTTCCTCCTCCTCCTCCTCCTCCTCCCCCTCCTCCTCCTCCTCCTTCCAGCAAATTTCCTCCCAGTATCTTATTCTACAAATGCCCTGTTTTTGTTTTTTGCAGGAATTGATAGTCGGTACAATGAAGGATGCTGGGAACTCGCCAACCACCTTCTCTTCGGCTTGTACAGCCAGGGCAACAATGAGTTTGAAAGATCAGGATTTCCGGAAGAAGTCCTGGACGGTAAGCCCCCCCCCCCCATTTGAGGTCGCCGATAACGCTGGTGCTCCTCCACTTCTAACAAGTCCTCTTTTTGTGACCGCAGACGTGATCCTGCTGATTAAACCGGACAGCGTCCATCTGTACTGCAACCCTGTCAACTACAATTACCTTCTCCCCTACGTGGCGTTTTGGAGGAACTTGCACTTCCACTGCCTGACGGAAACCGAGGTGAGCGAACAAGCCACCAATGGGGGGTGTAGAACAAGGCTTGTTCAAACAGGCTCTCAGTGTGTGAAAAGTCTGCACTTCCAGGATTTCGGGGGAATTCTGGGCGCGGAAGTCCACAAACAGCTCGTACTTCTTCCAATTCCTTCCTTTTTTCCTCTTTCTCGCGCCACTTTTGCGGATAGGAAAAATCCGTTTTCTTTCTGGCTATCCACCCAGATCTCTAATTCCCCCGTGTTGTATCTCTCCAGCCTTAGTTTTCCATTTCCAGGGTCACCTGGTTGTTGGCTTTCAACAATTCTCTCCAGCTGGCCTCCTCATCTGCCGTTTGGGACTTTTATTTCGGAGACCTTTTACACTTTCGCAGGGGACTTGGCGTTCCCACCAGGCTTTTAAAATTTCAGGGTTTTTTTTCGGTCCAAAACATCTTTTTGCTGTTCCTTTATCTTTCGCTCCTTTCCCAGCCTCATCCCACCAGCCCAGTGATTCTCAACCTTTTTAATGCCACGACGCCCAACCGGTCGTAAGTCAAGGACTAGTCAACTGGTGCAGCACCGTTTGCAGAATGGGACTTTTGGCGGGCTCAGCAGGGCAGAGACAGCCTGGACGATTCCTATTGGCTTTTGAAAGCCAATAGAATTAGACTCTATTCAAGAGAGTCTATTCTATTGGCTTTCAAAAGCCAATAGAATAAAAGGGAGTAGCACAGCTAAGGAAAAGGGGGAAAAAAATGGCGGACTGCGTGGTTTGGCGACCCCCGTGAAATGGTCATTCGACCCCAAATGGGGTCCCGACCCACAGGTTGAGAACCACTGCACCAGCCCGTCGTTTCAAGTGGGCTGCCTTGGATCATGAACGCCATCAAATGAATTCATCCCTGGGGTCTTTGGCACCCATGAAATAGACGGCGGGTACAATAGGCACGGATTTTAAATTGGAAGGGGCTCACGGAAAAACCCTCCGGCGTGGCTCTGGAAAAAAAAAAAAAATCACAAATAGCCTGATTCCGTTCAAGAGCGCCAGGGGTCTTTTCAGTTAGCACAGTGGTTCTCAACCTGTGGGTCGGGACCTCATTTGGGGTCAAACGACCATTTCATGGGGGTCGCCAAACAACGCAGTCCGCCATTTCCCCCCCCCCCTTTTCCTTAGCTGTGCTACTCCCTTTTATTCTATTGGCTTTTGAAAGCCAATAGAATAGACTCTCTTGAATAAAGTCTAATTCTATTGGCTTTCAAGAGCCAATAGGAATTGTCCAGGCTGTCTCTGCCCTGCTGAGCCCGCCAAAAGTCCCATTCTGCAAACGGTGCTGCACCAGTTGAGTAGTCCTCGACTTACGACCGGTTGAGTAGTCCTCGACTTATGACCGGCTGGGGGTCGCGGCATTAAAAAGGTTGAGAACCACTGAGTTAGCAAGTTCTGTAAAAATGCCCTTTTTAAAAAAAACCAAAAAAAAAAAAAACCCCAACAACAAAAATTGAGCTTGGCAAAGTTTCCTATCCCGTATTTGGGCTTTGCGAATACGCACAAGCTGGATTTTAGATGCTTTTGTTCTGTTGATTGGTTTTGTGTTTTGTTTTTTTTAAAGAAAGGGGGGCCAGCTTGAGCTCTGCTCTGAATTTGAGGATTGCAGGGTGGGGGCACAAGGTGTGACTCTAACAGCCATTTGCTGGTTTCCAGTGAGGGGCACGGAGAGAGAAGCGGGAATGTCTGTCCCCCTGTTTGTCATTCAACACGGGCCAGCTTTTGAGCGCTTGCAAAAGGTATTTTGATGTTGGGATAGAAAATGTCTCGCTTACCATCTTCCACCCAGGAGAGAGAGAGAGAGAGAGAGAGTTTGGGGTTAGTAGTTAAGGTTGGCTGAGAAAACAAGAGGCTCTGAGTTCTAGTTCCGCCTTAGGCATGAAAGCCAGGTGGGTGACTGTGGACCAGTCCCTCCCTCTCAGCCCAACCTGCCTCAATCACCAGGAGACTGGGAGTTCTAGCCCCGCCTGAGGTATGAAAGCCAGCAGGCTGACTGTGGGCCAATCACCAGGAGACTGGGAGTTCTAGTTCCATCTTAGGCATGAAAGCCAACTGGGTGACTCTGGGCAAATCACCAGGAGACTGGGAGTTCTAGTCCTGTCTGAGGTATGAAAGCAAGCAGGGTGACTTTGGGCCAATCACCAAGAGACTGGGAGTTCTAGTTGACTTTGGGCCAATCTTAGGCATGAAAGCCAGCAGGGTGACTTTGGGCCAATCACCAGGAGCCTGGGAGTTCTAGTCCCGCCTTAGGCATGAAAGCCAGCAGGGTGACTTTGGGCCAATCACCAAGAGACTGGGAGTTCTAGTTCCGCCTTAGTCACGAAAGCCTAAATGGGGCATAAACTCACCTAACAAATCTTTCACTAAGCCACCTAAAATTGGGGTTCAAATCTGACGATAAGTCGAGGACACCCTGTACTAGAATTTCTTATTTCGCTTGGCCGGAATTGACGATCCCAAACTGCGGCCTTTTTAGAACCACCCGGAAGCTGTGCTTAAAGGGGTTTTGGGGTTTTTTTTTTTTTGAAGGAATTAAAAGCCCTCGTAAATCATCCAGCAGGAAACCCGCCCAAATATTGACGTTGCGCTCATTATTTTTCAAAAGTTTCACCTCCCCCCCTCCCACCTTGTCATTTTTATTTTAGTATGAAGATGAAGAGGCCGCGGAAGAATTTAAAATTTCCAGCTTCGTGGACATGGTCCGAGATTGCAGCCGGATCGGCATTCCTTTCAGCTCCCAAGGTGGGTTTAAGACAGTGTTTCTCAACCTTGACCATTTTAAGGCATGTGGACTTCAACTCCCAGAATTCCACAGCCAGCAACGCTGGCTGTGGAATTCTGGGAGTTGAAGTCCACATGCCTTAAAATGGTCAAGGTTGAGAAACACTGGTTTAAGAGAACCCCAAATCTTTTATTTATCGATTTATTTTTAAAGTATTGCTTTTTAACAATAACACTCTCCGGTTCCTGGTGTACGGCGTGTTATCTTGGTTTATATATTTGGAAAAAACAAACAAACGGCACTAATAATTAATTCCAAATTTTTTAAATTTAGACTCTGACGCAACACAGATAGTCCTCAGTTTACAACAGTTCATTTACCGACGGTTCAAAGTTACAACAGCACTGAAAAAAGCCACTTAAGGTCCACTTTTCACATTTAAGGAACCGATATAGCATCCCCATAGTCACGTGATCAAAATTTGGATACTCGGTAACTGGTTCATATTTAACGACAGATGCAGTGTCATGTCATCCCCTTTTGTGACCTTCGGACAAGCAAAATGAATGGGGGAGTCAGATTCACTTAACAACCGTGTTACTAACAACTGCAGGGATTCGCTTAACAACGGTGGGGAGAAAGGTCATAAAATGGGGCAAAACTCACTTCACAAATGTCTTGATTCTCGACATATATTTTGGGGCTCAATTGTAGCTGTAAGTCAAGGACTACTTGAGCGTTTGTCCCCATCTGGATTTTGGTCTTCATTTTAGTGCAGGGGTCTTCAAACTTGGCCCTTTTATGACTTGTGGACTTCAATTCCCAGAATTCCTCAGCCAGCATGCCTGGCTGAGGAATTCTGGGAGTTGAAGTCCACAAGTCATAAAAGGGCCAAGTTTGAAGACTCGTGTCTTAAATCTAACAAACAAAATGGAGGCTGGCTGAGGAATTCTGGGAGTTGAAGTCCACAAGTCATAAAAGGGCCGAGTTTGAAGACCCCTGATATAGACTTTAAGAGGAGTGGGCTTCATCTCCCAGAATTCCTCATCCAGCGTGCCTGGTTCAGGAATTCTGGGAGTTGAAGTCCACAAGTCATAAAAGGGCCAAGTTTGAGGACCCGTTTTAGTGGGACTTGAAGGAAAATCACAGGCATATTGTCTCCAAAGTGAGTAATTTGAGCTCCTTCCTAATCTGCATTAATCACCCTCTGTAAAATTGAAACACAAAAGATCCCCTGTGCTTTACACATAAATCCTCTTTTATGCACGGAAAGAACGGATTCTTTTACTATTATTATTATTACTATGATGATGTAGCTTTACTTTTTTAAAAAACAGAAAAGACTCAGCTGTCCATTTCCTGTTAATGATGGGATGCCAGGATCTTAAGCAGAACAGCCTTGGCAGGGATTTTGAAGGGGGGGGGGGAGAGAGAAACGGGTTACAGAGCCCTTGAGCTGATGCAAGAAGCTTGCAAGCCTCTTCGTTGCAGTTCCTTTATTTATTTTTTTAATGAACCTTAAACAAGAAAGCAGAACTCCGTAGGTTTTTGAGTAACTGCAGAAAGAGGGCAGAGAAGAGCAACAAAGGTGATTAAAGGACTGGAGGCTAAAACCTATGAGGAATGGTTGCTGGAATTGGGGATGTCTCATTTAATGAAGAGAAGGACGAGGGGGGACAGGATAGCAGTCTTCCAGTTTCTCAGGGGCTGCCCCAAAGAAGAGGGAGTCAAGCTATTCTCCAAAGCGCCTGAAGGCAGGACAAGAAGCAATTAATGGAAATTAATCAAGGAGAGAAGCAACCTGGAACTAAGGAGAAACTTCCTGACAGTTAGAACAATTAACCAGTGGAACCACCTGCCTCCAGAAGCGGTGAATGCTCCAACACTGGAAGTTTTTAAGAAGAGACTGGACAGCCATTTGTCCGAAATGGTGTAGGGTTTCCTGCCTGAGCAGGGGGTTGGACTAGATGACCTCCAAGGTCCCTCTCAACTCTGTTATTCTGTTAACAGGGCCAGGAAACATCCTAGAGCAGTGGTTTTCAACCTGTGGGTCGGGACCCCATTTGGGGTCGAACGACCATTTCACGGGGGTCGCCAAACAACGCAGTCCGCCATTTTTTTCCCCTTTTCCTTAGCTGTGCTCCTCCCTTTTGAATAGAGTCTAATTCTATTGGCTTTCCAAAGCCAATAGGAATTGTCCAGGCTGTCTCTGCCCTGCTGAGCCCGCCAAAAGTCCCATTCTGCAAACGGGGCTGCACCAGTTGAGTAGTCCTCGACTTACGACCAATTGAGTAGTCCTCGACTTACGACCGGTTGGGGGGTCGCGGCATTAAAAAGTTTGAGAACCACTGTCCTAGAGACATGGAAAAGAAATATCTTTTAATAATTTGGACTTATTTTTTGCTTGGTCAAAAGAAAACAACCCACAACCCATAACCACAGCTTTCACTGGTCTTGACCAAAAGCATTTCTCTCTTCCAGTGTGCCAAAACACTGCTAACAACATCTATACGTTGTATGTTTTGCAGAGTTGTCTGCTGTCCCCTGGATTAAATCAGGGGTCTTCAAGCTTGGCCCTTTTATGACTTTTGGATTTCAGCTCTCAGAATTCCTCAGCCAGGCACGCTGGCTGAGGAATTCTGGGAATTGAAGTCCACTCAGAGTCTATATCGGGGGTCTTCAAACATGGCCCCCTTCAATTCTGGGAGTTGAAGTCCACAAGTCATCGAAGGGCCAAGTTTGAAGACCCCTGGATTAAATTTTAACTATATCCTTTCTGTCCTACTCCCTCCCTCCCCATCTTTCAGTGTGGGTGGAGTATGTGCGAAAAACAGCCATCAGTCCCTTTTTTCAATGCCGTTTTAACTTTGGACGTCGCTAAACGAGGACCCTTGCCCCAAAAAAAAAAAAAACCAAGTTGCAAATCCGGGTTTGCTTTCTTCCAGGTCACCTGCAGATCTTTGACATGTTTGTGGTGGAAAAGTGGCCCATTGTGCAGGCTTTTGCGCTGGAAGGCATCGGCGGTGATGGCTTCTTCACCATGAAATATGAGGTAAGATTGGGGGGGGGGCTGAGTTACAGCAACCTTTTCCCACCCAAGGGGCTTTCAGGAAGCCAATCAGAGTGATGACGTGGGGATCAGGCCCCCCACTTTTCCAGCACCCCAGCAAACCCACTTTGCATTTGGAAAGCTTTGATCCCACGGGCGTCTCTTGTGTGTGCTGGGGGGGGGGGAAATCAAGATAGAATTCAATAATAGAATAACGTGAGTTGGACGGGACCTTGCAGGTCATCTAGTCCAACCCCTCAGCTGAAGCAGGAGACTCTGTACCAGGGGTCTTCAATCTTGGCAACTTTAAGACTTATGGACTTCAACTCCCAGAATTCTTCAGCCAGGAGGAATTCTGGGAGTTGAAGTCCACAAATCTTAAAAGTTGCCAAGTTTGAAGACTCTTGTTTCTCTTGAATTTTGGGGCTCGGTTATGGTGGTTACCAGTCGAGGGTTACCTGTATTTTGCACGTTGTCCCCAACAATCCGGGTCCTCATTTTAACTGACCTCGGAAGGATGGAAGGCTGAGTCGGCCTGGTGAGATTCGAACTCCAGACTGTGGTCAGAATTTGTCTGCAATACTGCATTCTAACCACTGCGCCACCAGGACTCTTGCACGGAATGGTAGAAGGTCTCATGCTTGAGCAGGGGGTGGACTAGAAGACCTTCAAAATCCCTTCCAACCCTATGATTGTGTAATTCTGTTGTGTGTTTCCTAATGTGCATTTCTGCTTACAAGTGTCCTCTTGTATAGACCCCCAGCGCTCTTTGGTCTGACCCAGGGGTAGGCAACCTTGGCTCTTTTATGACTCGTGGACTTCAACTCCTAGAATTCCTGCGCCAGCCATGCTGAGGGGAAAGGGAGAGTTTCCAAGCTAAGCCATGCTGGCTGAGGAATTCTGGGAGTTGAAGTCCACGAGTCATAAAGCGGCCTAGGCCTAGGCCAGAGGTAGGCAACCTTGGCCCTTTTATGACTCGTGGACTTCAACTCCCAGAATTCCTGAGCCAGCATGGCTTAGCTTGGAAACCTCCCTTTCCCCTCAGCATGGCTGGCTCAGGAATTCTGGGAGTTGAAGTCCACCAGTCATAAAAGAGCCAAGGTTGCCTACCCCTGGTCTGACCGCTGAATTCCTGAGACCCCTTCCTCATACAATCCCATTTGCCATCCCTGCCTAGCCCCCCACCCCACACCTCACCCCCATGCCTCTTGGCCGCCTCTGACTTAGTCTTCTTCTTTGCAGCTGATGGACGTCAGTCTGGATCTCTGGAAAGCCTACAGCAAAGTGGATCCTGTTTCTTTGGAAAGTTTACTTGATGAGGTAACGTGTCCAGCATTTTTCCCCTTTTTTCCCCAATCTCTTCTTAAAAACTTCCAGTGTTGGAGCACACACAACTTCTGGAGGTAGGTTGTTCCACTGGTTAATTGTTCTCACTGTCAGCGAATTTCTCCTTAGTTCTAGGTTGCTTCTCTCCTTGATGAGTTTCCATCCGTTTCTTCTTGTCCTGCCTTCAGGTGCTTTGGAGAATAGCTTGACTCCCTCTTCTTTGGGCCAGCCCCTGAGATACTGGAAGACTGCTATCATGTCCCCCCTTGTCCTTCTCTTCATTAAACTAGACATCCCCAATTCCAGCAACCGTTCCTTATATGTTTTAGTCTCCAGTTCCCTGATCATCTTTGTTGCTCTTCTCTGTACTCTTTCTAGAGTTTCAACGTCTTTTTTATTTCGCGGTGACCCAAACTGGATGCCGTATTCCAAGTGTGGCCTTACCAAGGCCTTGTAAAGTGGTATTAATACTTCACCTGATCTTGATTCTGTCCCTCTGTCAATGCAGCCCAGCACTGTGTTGGCCTTTTTGGCAGCTGCAGCACATGGCTGGCTCCTATTTAAGGGATCATCCATTAGGACGCCGAGATCCCTCTCACAGTTATTGGGGGTCATTTCAAGAAAACGTACCCACCAAGTGGTCCCATGGGCTTTTGAGGAGGAAGAACAGCAGAGAGATGGTGGCTCATTCTAAAATGGCTTCCAGGTGGACCCTGTTTTGGAAGCACAGAGAGCGGTCACTCCCACGTTCGTGTCCAGATGCATTTGAGAACGCATGCTTGGGACCTGTTCGTCCCAGTTGCAATGTATGGCTGTGAAAGTTGGACCATAAGAAAGGCTGAGCGCCAAAGAATGGAGGCCTTTGAACTCTGGTGCTGGAGAAGACTCCTGCGAGTCCCTGGACTGCAAGGCGATCCAACCGGTCAGCCCTAGAGGAGATCAACCCCGACTGCTCTTTAGAAGGCCAGATCCTGAAGTTGAAACTCAACTATGTTGGCCACATAATGAGAAGGAAGGACTCCCTGGAGAAGAGCCTGATGCTGGGAAAGATGGAGGGCAAGAGAAGAAGGGGACGACAGAGAAGGAGGTGGCTGGATGGAGTCCCTGAAGCAGGATGCGTGAGCTTCAATGGACTCCAGAAGATGGTAGAGGACAGAAAGGCATGGAGGAACGTGGTCTATGGGGTCGTGATGGGTCGGACATGACTTTGCAACTAACAACAACATCCCTTGTTCTGCCAAGGGGCAGGAGGCAGTGATCAGGTGCCCAGGCAACTGGTTCTTTTGGATCCAATGAACAGTCCAGTAAATAAAGGGATTTTAAGCTTCACTGTTAGCTCAAGCAAACCGATTTAAACACATAACATAAAAAGCACACAGGTAGTCCTTGACTTGCCAATCATTCCTTTAGTGCCCCTTCAGATTTACAAGGGCACTGAACAAAGTGACTTAAGATATTTTTCATACTTAGACCGTTGCAGCCTCCCCATGATCTCGTGATCAGAATTCGGCCACTTGGCAACTGGTTCCTATTTATGATGGTTGCAGTGTCCCGGGGTCATATAATCCCCTTGTCAACGCTGCTAACTTCAGATGTTTTTGCTTTGACAAGAGTAGAAATGCAACCATTTTCTTCTTATGTTTTCCTTTTAGAGTTAGAGGATGCGGGGAGGGGAGGAATGTGCACGAGAGTTTAGATAGACATAATAATATTGGACTTGGTGTGAGAACCAAGGTTATTGAAATAAGAGATGATAAGGATTGGTGGGGCTGGAGAACTGGAGGGAAAGCCTGCATTTCAAACTAATTGGAGAATGTGGTTTATGACTGTTAATTGGAGGAGGGAATTGTGCTTTGATGCTGTGTGCTCAGGGCAGGAGAATTCAATTTTTGGCTTCGGCTGTGTTAGTGCCGATGCTATGCTTCTCAAATAAAGAATCTTTAAGGTAAACAATGCCTCGGAAGTTCTTTGAAGAGTTTCATCTGTCGGGACCATGACTCCCCTTTTGCGAAATGAGAAGCAAAATCAACGGGGAAGTCAGATTCGCTTAACAACCGTATTAATTCACTTAACTGCAGTGATTCACTTAACAGCCATTGCAAGAAAAGTCACAAAATGGGGCAAAGCTCACCTAGCTGTCTTGCTTAGAAAGGGGAATTTTGGCTGCATTGTGCTAGTAAGTCAAGGACTATACCTGGATTAAGGGGGATTTGTTTCAGATGTGCTACATAGCTTTTCAAGTTCACTGCGTGAGGAACGCTCACATCTCCATCAGGTGCCACATTGTGACTTCTTTCATGTTTGTTTTTGGGTTTGCTATGGGCTCAGGAGCTTCCATTCGGATTCCAAGAGGCTATTAAGCTTTTCCTTCTAGCTTTTCGTATTCTGGAAGGTTTCCCCCCCCCCCAGAAACTGGGAAGAGTTGCAAACTGGTCCTCTGCTGACACCTAGTGGCTGTTCAGACCTCTGTTTTCTTTCAGCCGGCTGCATCATATTAAAAATAATAATAGTAATAATAAAGTTGTAAGGTACCAACTTTATTAAAAAATAAGTCCTTGTTATTAAAAGATATTTCTTTTCCATGTCTCTAGGATGTTTCCTAGCCATGTTAACAGAATAACAGAGTTGAGAGGGACCTGGGAGGTCATCTAGTCCAACCCCCTGCTCAGGCAGGAAACCCTATACCATTTCAGACCAATGGCTGTCCAGTCTCTTCTTAAAAACCTCCAGTGATGGAGCATTCACCGCTTCTGGAGGCAGGTTGTCCCACTGGTTAATTGTTCTAACTATCAGGAAGTTTCTCCTTAGTTGTAGGTTGCTTCTCTCTTTGGTTAGTTTCCATCCGTTGCTCCTTGTCCTGCCTTCAGGCGCTTTGGAGAATAGCTTGACTCCCTCTTCTTTGGGGCAGCCCCTGAGATACTGGAAGACTGCTATCCTGTCCCCCCTCGTCCTTCTCTTCATTAAACTAGCATACCCAATTCCAGCAACCGTTCCTTATATGTTTTAGCTCCAGTCCCCTGATCATCTTGGTTGCTCTTCTCTGCCCTCTTTCTAGAGTCTCGACATCTTTTTTACATCCTGGTGACCAAAACTGGATGCAGTATTCCAAGATGCAGGCCTTACCAAGGCATTGTAAAGTGGTATTAAATAGACCCTCAAGTGTAGATGTTTCTGCTGTGAAGCATCCTTCAGCACATTCGGGTCTGTTAGCAGAACTCTCCAAGACGTGGGGGCTCAAGTGGCATATTAATTGACCGATTATATAGGCAAGATAGTGGAGTGATCTTAAGGCTACATGTCTTTTTCCCAAACCTGAAACAAACCAGTCCTTCCTCCACCGAAATCAGATCTAGAGGGATCCAGAGTGATTGCTTTCAGCTGAGTTGTTTCTAAAAATAAGAAATAAATGATATGAAATTGCCATGTTCTTTTTTTTCTCTCTCTCTCTCTCTCTTTTGATGTTTTATTCCTCCTTGCTGGTGTAGTGGAATCTATTTCCAGCAGCTGCTACGGGCAAAAGGAGAGGTTGAGGCAAATTAATTTAATTTTTACCAGCCGTTGATTGTGTTTAACCCCGAGTTGCTTGACTTCAGAGTTTGACAAGAAGCAGGTTGTTGTTGTTATTGTTGTTTTAAAAAACCTTTTTTTGGGGGGGGGGTGCAAAATGTTTTGAGCAGGTTAGGCCTTGATCTTTCCAGCTCCATAAATGCAAATGTTTGACCTCTTCCTTCACCCTCTTGTGGGGGATTTTAATGGTGTTGGCTGGCAGAGGGAAAGCCTGTGGGCTGATAACGAAATGTTTTTTTCTCTTCTAGGACTTGATGACTTTTGAACATCAGTGGACCAACTTCTTTGCCAATTTTGACACGGAAATTCCTTTCATTCTGGAACTCTCAGAATCTCAGACTGGAGAGGTATGGACCGAATTTTAGAGAGGGAAAAAAAAACTTAATTTTAGTTATCTGATTACAGGGCGTCCTGGACTTGCAAGCATTCATTCAGTGACCATTTGAACTTACAACAGCATTGAAAAAAGGGATGTAGGACCGTTTTCCGCACTTACGACCTTTGCGGCATTCCCCCTGGTCACGTGATCGAAATTCAGATGCCCGGCAACTGACTCATATTTATGACGGTTGCCACGTCCTGAGGTCTCAAAATCATTTTTGGTGATCTTCTGACAAGCAAAGTCAATGGGGTGGGGCGTATTTGCTTAACGACCGTGAGAATGGAATGGAATAAGTCAGGATAGGATAGGATAGGAATATAGATTATAATAAAAATACAAAATAGAATAGAAATTAGAATAGAATGGAATGGAATGGAATAGAATAAGACAGGATAGGATAGGATAGGAATATAGATTATAATAAAAATACAAAATAGAATAGAAATTAGAATAAAATAGAATAGAAATAGAAATAATAGGATAGGATAGGATAGGATAGGATAGAATTTAGAATAGAATAAAATAGAATAGAATAGAAATAGAAATAGAAATAATAAGATAGGATAGGATTAATAGGATAGGACGGAATGGAATGGAATAGAATAAGAGTAGAGTAGAATAGAATAGAAATAGAAATAAAATTAATAGGATAGGATGGAATGGAATAGAATAAGAATAGAGTCGAGTAGAATAGAATAGAAATAGAAATAAAATTAATAGGATAGGATGGAATGGAATGGAATGGAATAGAATAAGAATAGAGTAGAGTAGAATAGAATAGAATAGAAATAGAAATAGAAATAAAATTAATAGGATAGGATGGGATGGAATGGAATAGAATAAGAATAGAGTCGAGTAGAATAGAAATAGAATAGAATTAATAGGATAGGATAGGATGGAATGGAATAGAATAAGAGTAGAGTAGAGTAGAATAGAAATAGAAATAGAATTAATAGGATAGGATGGAATGGAATGGAGTGGAGTAGAGTAGAGTAAAGTAGAATAGAATAGAATAGAATAGAATAGAATAGAATAGAATAGAATAGAATAGAAGAAAACAGAACAGCACAGAACAGAATAGAATAGGTGAACTTCCTTGTGCTTCTAATTAAGACCCAGCCAAACCATCCCCCCCCCGCTCCTCGTAGCTTATAATATTGATATTTTCCAATCCAAAGGCCACTGTTCTCTGGGGTGGCTTGCAGGAATCATTTAAAACCGTCAAACGGACCCGCGAAGTCTGAAATAGAATATTTCTCGCCGCCCAGCCGCGTGAAGCTGCTTGTGCGTTTTGAGCCTTTGAAACGAGCCTTTTCAGGCTCCCTGCTCCCTGCCAGAGCGCCAACGCGCTTTCACTTCGGGAACGAAAAAGGCATCCATCTGGCTGGGTGAAGGCGAACTGGACGCTGCCCAATGGAAAAAGACAGGGAGCTGGCTGGAGGCGCGGGCGGTGCCATCTGGAGATGGCCAGAAATCTTTTTGCAAGAGCCTAAACAGCTCTTGAGAACACAATGATGTGGATCTCCCTAATTCTTTTTAACAATATCAATGCTTTTTTTCCCCCCCTCTCTTTAGCCATTCCGAAGTTACTTCAGCCACGGGCTGATTTCGAGCCACATAACAGATAACAGGTATTTATTTATTTTTTGGTTTATTTCTGTAACTTCCTTCCCACGCAAGGTCCTATCCCCGTACGAATCTGATTTCTAGTTTTGTCCTCTAATGGAAAAAAAAAAAAAAAGGAGCCATAATTCCAGAGGAGACGTTTGCCCCTTTGAGCCTTTCAAAACCGTTTCTTCTTCCATCGAACCGCCGAAGGGAGAATACTATAAAATGTAAGATTTGTCGTGCTCATTCCAGAGTCTGGTCATATCTCATCAAGGGTAACTTTGCTTTCCCACCCAGCAACATTTCATTATCCAGTCCAGATATACAACCTTGGAAATTGATGTATAGCGGAACGAGAGACCTGTCGTTATTTTGTCTGATTGCAGCTGTCATTTGTCTCTGGCACAAAAGAAGGGTCCTTGTGTTAGTTTTTAGCCAGTCATTTTATCAGAAGACTTGGGGAATTAAATTTGGGCTGGGTTTTTTTCTGTACTTAAATCAGAAAAACCACTGAATATGTTAAAAAGGCCTGTGTTTGCTTCTTGCCACTCTAATAATAATAATAATAATAGTCTGGATAGTGGACGTGGCAGTGCCTGGAGACAGCAGAATAGACGAGAAAGAACTGGAGAAGATAACAAAATACAAAGACCTACAAATAGAAATAGAAAGACTGTGGCAAAAGCAAGCAAGGGTAGTACCAATAGTCATAGGCGCTTTGGTGCAATCCCAAAACAACTGGAGCACCACTTGAACACCATTGGCATTGACAAATTCGCTATTAGTCAATTGCAAAAGGCGGCCTTACTAGGAACTGCTTCCATCCTGCGACGATATCTGTAATACCATCAAACATCCACATCTGCCTATCCCAGGTCCTGGGTAAGGACTCGATAGGTAGACAAAATGCCAAATCCAGTTGAACATCTGGCTGACTGTGCGATGATCCATAATAGTAATAATAATAGTAAAGTTGGAAGGGACTTGGAGGTCATCTAGTCCAACCCCCTGCTCAGGCAGGGAAACCCTATACCAGTGGTTCCAACCTTTTTAATGCGCGACCCCCACGGTCGTAAGTCGAGGACTGCTCAATCGGTCGTAAGTCGAAGACTACTCAACTGGTGCAGCACCGTTTGCAGAATGGGACTTTTGGCGGGCTCAGCAGGGCAGAGACAGCCTGGACAATTCCTATTGGCTTTTGAAAGCCAATAGAATTAGACTCTATTCAAGAGAGTCTATTCTATTGGCTTTCAAAAGCCAATAGAATAAAAGGGAGTAGCACAGCTAAGGAAAAGGGGGAAAAAAATGGCGGACTGCGTTGTTTGGCGACCCCCGTGAAATGGTTGTTCGACCCCAAATGGGGTCCCGACCCACAGGTTGAGAACCACTGCCCTATACCAGTTCAGACAAATGGCTGTCCAGTCTCTTCTTAAAAACTTCCAGTGTTGGAGCATTCACAGCTTCTGGAGGCAGGTTGTTCCACTGGCTAATTGTTCTAACTGTCAGGAAGTTTCTCCTTAGTTCCAGGTTGCTTCTCTATAGAATGGAATGAAATGGAAATTGAAATAGAACAGTTGGAAAGGACCTTGGAGGTCATCTAGTCCAACCCCCTGCTCAGGCAGGAAACCCTATACCATTTCAGACAAATGGCTGTCCAGTCTCTTCTTAAAAACTTCCAGTGTTGGAGCATTCACCGCTTCTGGAGGCAGGTTGTTCCACTGCTTAATTGTTCTCACTGTCAGGAAGTTTCTCCTTAGTTCTAGGAGAATAATCGCCTCATAATATTTTTCCCATTAAGAATGCACATTTGGTTTTCCATCGCGTTTTGAGGATGTACAGGCCGTCCTCAACTTAACGACCGATCACTTAACAAATGTTCAAAGTTACAATGGATCTCAAAAACGGGCCTTCATGACCCATAGGCAGAGTTCTGATGGCTGGAGAGCATAGTCATGTCCCTACATTTTGCCTACTTTCAGCATCCCAGGGTCATGTAGACCAGAGGTCCCCAACCTTTTTGGTTTGGGAGCACGGAAAAGGGAGGCAGGCAATGTCATGCATGCGTGCGCACGCACAAGTGGACCGCGCGAGAGAGCATGCACACCTGCAAATGGGCCGTGGGCGAGGGCATGCACATGCGCCAATGGGGCCGCGCGAGTGTGGGCGCCACAAATGGGCCGCGCTAGTACCGGCGTGATGCTCGGTGTGGCGCTAATGCCCGAGACGGTTGGGGAACTTCTTCCTTAGTCCTTTCAAAGCAGCGACCACAGCCAGACTTTCAACACCACGGAGGTGTCGTCATTTGCTCTTTGTGTGTGTGTGTGTGTGTGATCAGTCCCAGCAGGCAACCGTTTGCGCTCTTTGGCACCCACTCATCCAGAGAAAACCTGAATTCGGGCAATTTCAGTTTCCCTTCGGAAGGACACCTGCTCCGCAACACGGGCCTGGCTGGCAGCATCGCCAAACACATGGTAAGCCTAATCGTGCATGAAATTTTAAGCAGCAGCTGGGGTCATTGCGTCTCGTGGCCTGGGGAATTCTGGGAGTTGAAGTTCGCTGTTCTCCAAGCTGCCAAGCTTCAGAAACCCAGCCCTGGGAGGGAATGGAGTCGTTCTGGTCATAAACCTGAGCTGTGACAAACAGACAGATTAGATGATAGAGATTGGAGAGTGAGATTAGACAGACAGACAGATAGACATAGATTTGATAGATGTTAGAGATTGGAGA